TTCTTTCTTTTTTTTTTTTTTTTTTTTTTTGTATTTTTAGGGAAGGGTTCAATTCACCTGAACAGGGTGTTCAGGGTCTCACTACTAGATCAGACTTGCAGTGATGTGCCTGTTTACAGCCTCCCAAGAGCTGGGATTACAGGTGCAAACCATCACACCCAGTCTCAACTGCAGTATCAGCGGGTCCAGCATAGCAGGCCTGGGGATTGAACCCCTGGCCCCTGCATTATAGTGACTTTCTAAAGAAAGATTCTTGATGCAGTGGGCATGGTGGTGTACATCTGTAATTCCAGAAATCAGAGGCCAAGGTAGGAGAATCACATGAGTTCAAGGCTAGTCTGGGCTACACAGTGAGTTCAAGGCCAGACTGAAGTATACAGCAAAAGCCTGTCTCAAAAAACAAACACAGGGGGAACTACCCGCTCGGGCCCCCTCCTGGCCCTCTCTTGGACAAGAGCTTTCTTTCTCTCAATAAATATATTCTGCTCATAACCTCTGTTTGTTCCTAAAATTCATTCTTCAGTTTTAGAGAACATGAACTTATGCAGGTTAGGTCGGGAGATTGTTTTTCTCTATGTCATTTGGAGGTTCCTTGTATGGTTGGGAGGTCACCTACCCGAGACCAGTTTTTTCTCCCTGTATCATTTTGGAGTTTCCCACCGAGATCATTGGACAGAGGTATGAGTTTGCTTTTCTTTCATAAATTCTGAATTGGGACTTGCTTAGGTAACAAATTTGTTTCAAATGTTAGTATGTCTTTGCCCATTGCTCATAATTGTTCATGCTTTGCCTCATTCAGTTTTGCTTCACATAGTACTGTTAAAATTGCTTACAATTGCTTCTGTTTTGTCTCTTGTATTGTTGGTAAAATGTTGGTAAACCTTAAGTTAAAATGTGGAAATGTTACAAGTTCATGATATTTCATTAGTGGGACATTTTATAACTATTTTGCACTCGTATATGTTACATTTGAACTGGTATTCCTAAATGTGCTGGTATTCCTTGCTTGAATTGAGACAATAGTGCTAGAAAGAGTAACATTAGTAAGCCTCCTAGTGAATTTTATGTAAACTTTTGTAAATTGGGACTTTTAGCCAGCTTGGACTTAAAAAATATACATGCCTGTATATGAAACACGGGACTCCTTTTGCCAGTTAAATGACATTAGGTCGGCAACTGTTCTTAAAGACTTGGAGGACAGGTTTCACTGGGATGGACTGGTTCTGATCCCCCTCTACATGCTAGAGGGAATGTCAGGCCTGCTCTGTTTCAGTTTCCTTGCTTTGACTTTATTCCTAATTTTCCCACCTCTTTGTAGTTTGCTTTTTAGAGGCATGTAAAATTAGGAAAACTCTGACCATTTCAACTAAGTGAAGCCCTTAGAAAATGAGTGTTTATTAATGCCGAAGACAGGGAAGTCATTTTAGAAAAAGGACACATACCCCATCTCTGGGTCAGATGAGAAAAAGAGGACTATGCCCATCCAGGAGGACACATAAAAGCCATGTCCCGGCTTAGTGTTCTGGGCAGGTCTCCTTCGGGAGGCTAAACCTGAGACATGGTGGAGAGAACCGACTTCTGGGTGACACCAGAAGGAGCTATCTCCAAAAGCAGCACACTTATGGGACCAAAACACATTTAGTGTGAGGGAGGATTCAATCTTTTCTCCTAGGTCTGGTTGTCATTTAGGTCCATAAGAGATAAGTTGCAGACTTTAAAACCTTTAATGTAAAGTATTAGGTAATCTTGTCCAGGCTTTTAACTATCCCTTATAGAACTTGGACAAACAGTGGTTACTCTGCCAGCTAGTAAATGCTCTTAGAGCAGCTGCCACTCTTTGAAGCAGAGGACAGGTTTCCCCAGCTGTTCTCTGGTGAATCCCCATTGAAGCCTATGGCTGATGGAAAGTTGACCAAAGAAACTGTTGGATTCCTTTCTGGAGACATCTCTGGTTTTGTGGGCCAAAAGAAACCAAGAATGCCTGAGGGGAGAAGGCGCCAAACCCTAAGGTTCCTTGGTGGAAACTGGCCCCTGGCCACTGAAACATCTCCGCTTACCTATT